CACACCCACATAAAGAATCTTGCCCTAGGGGACGGTACTTGATTTCTCAAACTAGTCTAGCATGTTGAAGCCATATGAGCTGAGGGCTGAAATTTTATCCCATATAACTATTCTGCTTCTGAACTTGTCATGGTATTTTTGTTTTGCTTATCACTATCCATTGCTTGAGGATAAGCAATAGCTTAAGTTTGGGGGTGTGATAACTACTTGAAAATGTCATATTTTGGGACCTTTTCACTTAAGTTATTGAATGTCTAAGAGCCCATTTAGGACCATTTAGATGCATTTAGGAGCATATAGTTGCATGTGGTGGATTTCAGTTTGCCGTGGCATTTTTACATCTGTGCTGCTTTATGGGAAAGGTACTTGTCTGATGATATGCAGGTGTTGAAAGCAAGGAAAAAGGATTTAAAATGCCGTGACATAAGTATATTGCTGAGCTAAATAAAAATGCCAAGTTCAAATGGCATTTCAGGAGCGTACAAGGAGAGAGAATATATTTTCTAGCCAGCTGTCCCGGATTTTACGCATGCTTTGCCCGAGATACCCACCGCAGCATTTTGACGCTTCAACCACCGGTTCTGTTGATGACGTTGCCTAGTCTGACCCTGCAGATCCTGTCGGTCCTAGGGCGCCTGTAGCGGGATTATGCCGGTCTCTAGCCAGCTACCTAGGCTGTATCATTGCCTAGTCTGCTCGAGTCCCAAGCAACTCAACCATGGTTTTGGGGTTTCCTAGGATGGTTAATACCAAACCTTAGGATTTCTTTTCCCCTATAAATAGAGGAGGAAGCCATATTGAAGAGGACTTTAGTTCCAGCCACATTTGATCTTAAAAAGTTAGAGAGAGAAAGTCTCATCTTTCTCCGTCAATCCCACTTGCCGTGGCATTTCTCATTGACTAGCAGAAGGGAGTTGCGTTCTGAGTATCCGAGAGGATCTAGTCCGCTGGGAGCAGTCCTTGGTGGCCGAGGAAGGCATTTGGCAGTGCACGTCGAAGGCTTTCTCTCCTCCCCTTAGTCCTTGATTTTATATTTTGTTGTTGGGTTGTAAGGAACGAATGAATCTTGCTTTGTGCTTGTTGATTTCGAGCCCCACCATGAACTAATCCTATTTGGTGGGAGTTCGCATGGTTATTTAAGTTGTTATTTTAATGAATGGTTGTTGTTTCATGCTCTATTCTGTTTTGTTTATGATGCTTAAAGTCTTGAGGTTGTAGGAGCTACGAGAGTAGCCTTTCCTTAGGAGGGTTCATGAGGTTCGAGAGAATGCCTTGGCAATTTATCTTTAGTCTTCGAGAGAAGCTAGGGAGGAACTACATAAACAACGGGTTCTAGATAGTAATTAGGCCTAATCCACCTTAGAGATAAGAATAGGATTTTATTCGACTAAAAGGAGTTGTGTATAAACGATAGGTTAGATGTTAATGCTGCCGTAAAAAGGTATTGCCGAGACATATTCTATTAGCTGAGTCAATAGGATCACTGCTTGGGCTTACGCCAATCGGTTTTGCCAGGGCATCTTTAGTCTGTCGAGTCCCTTACTAGAGATAGCATAGGGCACATCAGTAGACTCTGTCGGGTAGGGTAAGCATAGAAGAAGCACCATTCAGAGAAATAAACTTAAGTTTTCCTTGTGTCTCCCATCACTCATTTCCATTTATCCTTGTGTCTGCCAGGGCATTTTTATTTTGCCTTGACATTTCCATTTGTTTTCACGTATCACAATTTAATTTGCCACGACATATCCATCTGCTACCACACTATCACCACTCCATTTCCACTACGTCCATTCCATTTTGCCACTGCATTCTCATCTGTATATACCATAACTAACTTTACTTAGGTGACAAAGTAAAGTGCCTTGACAAACCTATTTGATTTCCCCAATTTCCTGTGGAGACGATACTCTACTTATCACTTTATTACTTGTTCGATTGTGTATACTTGCACATATATCCGCATCATATTTTAGTACTCACAAATAGCGGATACCCCCACTTAAATAGGGTTCGGAGCTCGGGTATAGAGCCTTAGATGAAAAACTTTGAAAATATGAAATTATTGAAAAACGTCAGTACAACTATTTATTTGAAAAATAATCAAAAATAAATAATTGGAATCAAATAAATAAATTAAAATTTAAACTTTTAATTTTTGCTAAAAAAAAGACAACCGGAAATGAATTTCGGCCTGACTCACTTACCTTTTCCCCAGCGGAGTCGCCAATGTGTCGTAACTGTCTTTCGGTTGGGCCCAGAATTGGGCTTCAACTTGAATATTTGGGTTAGGAGTCGCCACCGATCATTTTAAAGCGATATTAGGTAGATAGGGCACCATCTTACATGATATGCGTTGTACCAGAAACGTATCGGGTTCGGGAGTCGGTTACGGTCAAGGAAGGATTAGCACCCTTGAACCGCCCTTTCGGTACCAATTAATTTGTCAGTTGTCTTTATTTACGAAAATTTAAATTTAAATTTAAAAATTCAATTTGAACTACTTATCTTTGATCGATTTGAAAGTGTACCCTTAAAACGTCAGGACACTTGTTAGAAGGGAAAAAATAGTAATGAAAATAAATAAGATAAAAAACAATAAAAAAAACAAATGAAATAAATAAGATAAGATAAAGAAAATGAAGATAAATAGGATAAATATAATAAAATAATAATAAAAGATATAAAGGAAAAGAAAATATATACGTAGATAATAATAATAATAATAATAATAATGATAATAATAATAATATTTATAATAAAAATAAATACGTATAAACAAAGTAGTAGGAAAAAAAGAAATAAAATAATAATAAAACAAACAAATAAAAATAATAAAAGGATTAAAATAAAATAAAAACATATATATAATATCGCATAAAAATAAAAAAAAATAAGAAATAAAATAAACAAAAAATAAAAAATAAGAAAGATAAAAGGATTAAATTAAAAGAAAAAAATTAGGGGATGAATTTAAAATGAAATTCGATGTGCAAATTCGATTTAGGGGCAAAACGAATACCATAAAACAAATGGGGGACATGAAAGGGGATTAACCCCTAAGATGAATGAACCAAGCATGAAGTTTCCAGACCCCAGGGACCTGACATGTGATTTAACTAAAATAATTGAAATGAAACACCCCCTTATCTCCAGTACACGTGCAGAGCAAGAAAAAAGCTTTCCCTTCTCCAGATTCTTTCAATCTCTTATTCTTCTCTCCTTTCGAACCAAAATTTCATATTTGAGTTCTCAAAGAACTCATGGCGAGGAACCAATGGCGAGGTAAGATGGCTCACATTCTCTACTGTTTTTTTTTTTGCTTTTACACTTATACCACATAAATAAAAGAAGAAAAACGAGAAAGAAAAAAATATGCTTCGAACGAACCTTTGCCAAAAAATATGGAGAACTTTTCTCTAATTTCTTTTGAGTATCCCTCCTGAGTATATTTTATTGTGTAATATGCGTAAATCGTGTGTGATTTTGCTGGAAATCTTCTGTGTCTTACATATGATATGGATTACATGTATTTATAATGGAAAAAATCAGACTATTTTTAGATTCCTATACAAAATAGACTTCTAATGCTCTTTGGTTGCTTTTGGTTGTTGCTGTTGATGTTCCTTGCACCAGAGGATGCGGGGCTGCTATTGGATTGTTACACGCGGGCGAAATTGGGTGTCTTCACATATATTTATTTATAGATAATTTTACTAAATAATATAAATTTAATCTATTTTTTAAAATAATTTTGGTATATCTTTTTAATTTCACAATATTTATCTTAATAAACCTTCATCTTGGGTTGATGTAGTTCTTTAATCATATTTACATAGGAGTTAAAAGTAGAAAAATTTTGAAATAAGAAAATATATCCGAAATAGTCAAATTAGTTTAATCAAAAAAAGAAATAGTCAAATTAGTTGTCCACAATTTGTATTCTTGAAAAGGCCAAGAGCATGGTTTTCAGAACCGGACCGGTTAACGAACCGGTCATATTATCGGTTCATTGGTTCAACCGATCGAACCGGTTCGACCGATCGAAAGAATCGGACGACGTCATAATTATTTAAATAAATAAATAAATATATCAAAAATATTTAATAAAAAATATTTTTTTATATCACAAGTCATATTGAAAGCAAGTCATAACATATATAAGTTAAAAACTATAAAATCAAGTGAAACAAAATGATTCAAATTAACTACAACATAATATTTAAGGTAAAACACATTAAATAATAAATATAACTATATAACTATAATTAAAAAATAAATTTGGGGCTAAAAAAATCATAACAAAATGATATTGTTTGGTTTAATTTTTTTTAAAACAATCTCACATGGCTAAGAAACATAGAAGAGCATCACAACTAACTTCTATAAATAATAAAGGTAATTTGGCATTCAAAATCATGGAGCCTTTTGGTGAGCATTGAGTGAACTATTCTTTCACTTCAATCAAGCTCGAATTTTAGGCTTCAATCGAGCTTCTAATTTTTTTTTTTTTGAGTTCAAGCCTTTTTGAGTTCAAGTTTCAATATTATATTTCGAGTTTGAGTTGAACTTGATAATTTTTAATTCTTGAGTTTGAGTCCAGTTGAGCTTACTTTTAAAGTTTTCAAGTTCGAGTCGAGCTTAGCAATACTCGAGTTCGACTTGGCTCATTTAACAAACGACGTCGTTTGGTTTAATTTTTAAAAAAAAAACAAAATTGACGGTTTTTTCTGATTTTTTCTTATTTTCAATCGGTCCGGTTCGAACGGTTCAACGGTTCTAACCGGTTCACTAGTAGCAATTCAACCGGTGTAGATTGAACTGAACTAGATAACGATTCTCGATTGAACTGACCGATCCGGTCCGATTTTTAAAACACTGGCCAAGAGTGCAAAAAGGGGGGGGCAAAGGATGACTGCCTTAAGATTTCGCAATTTAATATTAGTATTTAATTGCATTATAAAATATATTGTTGTGCATATTTAAATTGTACAATCCATATTTTATTTACTTGTTTAGCAGGGAAAAAAAATGTTGGCCGCCACCGGATCAGCTGTTCTTCTTCTTCCTGGCAAAGCTAAGTGGCTTCATCAGGAGTCTGTGCGCAGATTTCAACTCAAAACCAGTCTTTGTTTGACCAATATCTCAAAGCAAAACAATGGGCAGCTTTTTCAGAGAAATCAAACCTTCCAATCACTCAACAATGGAGGCTTTGGAGTGCAGAGTACTTATAGAAACAGAAAACTGTAATCTAACTTTATTGTTTCCCCCTTTTCCAGCTTTACTATGATAGCTATTTTGATTGTTTCCCATACATAATATTGAACTTTGCAGGAAAAATATGCAGATGGTCTGCTGCAGTTTGGAACAAGGGTCAGGGCTTCCACCATTTCCTTTTAATCTTCTTCACCCTAGGACCGACTGGTAATCTTTTAATTAAGCGTGGAAATAACAGTTTCTGTTGTTCTGTTTGCGTTGAAATGTTAGCCCAAGAAATTGACAATCATACAATCTACAGGCATCTCTGGGCTCTGGGAACGGCAATCCCACTTATCCTATCCTTCACCACCGGTAAATGGGGGCCATTGCTAGAACTGAAAAGTAAGGATTTTCTTCTTCTTCTTCTTCAAGTAATCAAGCATTTCATTAACGTATGTTTTCATATATGTAGATGATGCTGATAAGGTCCTAGAGACGGCTGAACATATATCGGATGTGGTGGAACAAGTGGCGGAGAAAGTGGAGAAGGTAGCAGATGAGGTGGGCGATCAGCTGCCGGACGGCGGAAAACTGCGGGCTTCTCTTGAATTGGTTGAGGATTTAGCCCAAGAGGCAGCAAAGGACGCTCATCTTGCCGGAGATCTAATTGACAAGGTTAGCTTTTCACCTAATTAAATTTTAACATATACAATTAACACATCACTTGGCAATTATCACGTGCTTCGCTTTTTAATTTGTTTTTCCGTATATCTCACTTCATTGATTTTATGTGTACAATTTCATAATTCCACTGTGAATTAATTTAACGCTTATTTAGTATATTATAAGTAGTTTCTGAATTAAAAAAATGTGAAGTATTTTTTGTTTATATTTTTTAAAAATAAAAAAGAATAAATGAGACATTATTTTTTCTCATAAATAATAATTCTTTCTCCTAATTCTTAAATGATTTATTATATATATACACACAATAGATAATAGTCGAAGGTTAACTTTTTCCTTTTTGTTTATGATTCATTTCTTATAAGATTTTAAAATATAAAAAATTAAAAATTAAAATTTTACACGTAAATTATCGATATCTAATTTTGATAATTGGTTATAACCTACTGAAGTTCATTTAAATTTTTTTAATCCTAATTTCGAAAAGAAAATTTGTTTTACTCACTTTAAGGGTTATTTTAGTCTCTAAGTTTAAAAGAGTACATCTCAATCTAAATTATTAATCTATCATTATTATAGGGAAAAAAACAAATATATTATTATAAATTAAGAATGTGTCTGTAAAAATCTAAATCTCTTTGGTAATTATATGCATATCTTTGTTAGTTGCAATAATATATAAATATATATATATATAATGCAGGTCCAAGAAATGGAAGACAAGCTGGAGTCGTTTATGGAATCAGTCGAAGAATATAAAGCCGAGAAGGAACCTAAAGTCGCGGAGGAGGATTGAAGGTGTTTATGTGGATCCAAAACAAAGACCTCTTGTGCAAGGACTTCTGAATTTATAAAACTCATCATGGTTGAAATTTATATAAATATTATTTTCAATTAAAAACTTGGTTTCATCATTTTAATCATAAAAATTTAAAAAAGACGAATTTTGGATCTATTAAATACACTTTGATTCAAATCTATATATAGACGTATAAATATTACCTTTAAATTGTTTTTGGATGTTAAGTTTTTTAAATCAATATAAATTTATAATTTTTATTTTATTTCCCATAGATATACCAAATGTTTTCAAGCTTTCGGTGTTAAAAATCTATTTATCAAATATATATTTTAATTTGTAAGAAAATAGAAAACGTTTTTGGAAACTAAACGAAAACCTAATGTGATTATTATATTAGTTTTAAAATAAATTATCAAATAAAAGCTAATGAGTTTAGTTTCTTATATAAAATTTAATTATTTGTAATGTGAGTTTATATCTTATATATTCGTTTTTTTTATTATTAATGAACAATATTTTCCTTTTTAAAGAAATGATAATGAAAACCAGCCCAAATACAAGTAAACCCGTGACAAATTAATACAGGCCTAAATAGAGAGAGAGAAAAGAAAAGATATTGCCAGGTCAACAGTATGGGCCACGATTCATATACTTGGGCTTATAAGGTATAGAGTGCAGTCCAACGGCTACTCACAATTCCCTTGTCTTTCAAATTGTAAAGAGAAAATACCGGAAGAAAATGAAAGAGAAAATCCCCCTAATTTGTCTTCCCTTTCAAAAAGAGGCATTATCATATCTTCACTGCTAAGGGCTACTCCCATGTTTCTGAACAAATTCTAATGGCCTATGCGGTGCTTTGCAACGTTGTCACTAGCTGCTGAAGTAAAGACCCTTGAGAAAGAGAAGGAACATCTCAGACTAAACATTAGCAAAGCTGAAGAAGAGGTGAGAACCAAGGAATTTCAACACTTTATGCTTGTTTAAATCTCTATTCCCCTTGTCTGAAATTAACAAGGTATTTTAACTATACAGGTGAAAGTTCTGCTTGAAGAAAACGCCATTTTGGATGAGGCGAATAAAAGTTTATTGAGGCAATCCCGTGAAGGAAAGAATGTCCGTGATTTATTAATTCAAGGAAGTGTGGAGTCATGAGTTGTATTTCGTACTGTTCATATATAGTGCATATTTTCTATTTCAACAATGACTTCACATAAATAGAATTTGATAAAACATGATTATGATGTTAGAGATCTTTAGTCAACAAATTATTATTATTATTATTATTAAGAAAGACACCGACTTAAACATTATTAAAATAGTACTCAAAACAGTAATTATGGAGGACCCCCCATTGGTCTGTCTTTAAGTACGACGTGTACTTAATTACAACTTGGAAAATTTTTCAATTTTTGACCTAAATTTATTTAAATTTAATCCAAACTAATTTATATTACTTTTCAATAAAAGAATGAAATATTTAAAATATTGTTACATAAGGATATAATTATAGATAGTAAAATATTGGTTATTAAAACTTTATTTTGTTGATAAGTTGTATCAACGTTGGTGGAGGGAGTTAGCTACGCAATCAATAGCTGGCCAATCAAATTTCCATGAATTCTTCTCCGACTCTCAAGTCTACACCATTGACCATACAACACGTTTCTGCTTTGCTTTCTTTTGAAATGCGCATAAAAATATACTGTTTAGGTAATTAAATCAACCTTAATTTTTGACTTTTATCGAAACTTGTTTTATATTTTATTAAAATTATTGTGAATATTTTACTACTATTTAAAAAATAAAATAAAATAAAATCGAAGTTATCAAAAGGCGATCATTAGAGTTAGTTTAATATTTTACCAACAAATCTTATAATTGTTAAATCGGTAGTCAAATTTTCAGGATGCGGAATCTCAAAATTCAAATGAAGAGATTATTTATAATATATAGTTAAACCAAATGTATTTTTTAATTATTAAATATTTTATATTAAAGTTGACTGACAAGTTGACTTCTTGGACCGGCTTGGCTTAGTGGAAATATTTATTGAGAGTTGTGAATTCATTCATATGAGAAATTTGAAGGCTTTAGCTACTTTGCTCTTTCTCCTCTTCAGTCACATTGAGGTATGGTTTCGGTTCTCTTCATCTTTTTACATATATTTGTCTTCTTTTATCTGTTTAGGGTTATGCATGAAATGGATTATTCTTTGCATAGGTTTGTTTTCTTTTATAGTATTTCTCATTTTGTTTTATTATTAAATTTGATTACTTTTTCGTTATATTGTCTTGATTGAGTTTCTTCAAATTAAGAATGACTTTAATGATACATTTCTCTATTTTATTTTATTTTATTTTTTAAAAAAAAGATTTCCTAAGATTATCGTAATGTATTTTATTGTGTTTGGGGTTAAAAGATGAAACATGAATGAGAAAGAAATGTGATTATATGTAAAGTTATTAAAAATTGTTTACTTAAAGTGGAATAAAGTACATTTCCGTAACCCATTCTTTAATAATTTTGTTTTATTTTTAAAAAATTATATTTTAATTAGTTATGATTTTCTTAACCAATGTATAATATGTTTTTTTCTCAAAAAAATATGTTTAAAAGTATATAAAATAAATTTTTAATATATCAAAATTTATATAAATATACAATACTTTTTAAAAAAAATGGACGCAGTACATAAAAACTTTAAGAAAATGGCAAGGGAAATTGAGGAGGAAGAAAATAAAAGATCATGGTAGAAGAAATCATGGCGGGGAAACTTAAAGAATTTCTTCCTTTTCAGTTTCCCTAAACTTTAAAAAGAATATATAATACTGTAAATGCTTAAACATGATTATGGTAAAAAAATATATATTCTTTCTCGAATTAGCTTCTAATATTCATAGATTATGGTTGCAGACAGGTTAATTAAATGGAAGCCTTAACTACCGTCGGAGGAGCTCTTCTAGCAGCTACATTTCAATGGTTATTCGCAAAGTTGGATTCTACCCAATTACTAAACTTTGCAAAACAGGATCAAGTTGGACTGGAGCTTAAGAAGTGGAGGAATTTGATGTTGAAAATCCAAGCAGTACTCGAAGAAGCCGAAACGAAGCAAATCACTGATCCCCTGGTGAAAATCTGGGTTTCCGAGGTTAGAGATTTGGCTTTCGACATGGAAGATATCTTGGATGACGCAGCATCCTTTGGCAACTCCATTTCAAATCCTGAACAAACTCCAACAAACAATTCATTGAACATGTTCCGTGCTTGTTTCACTGGTGCAAGCCGAAGCAATTCTATGCCGGACTATGGAGACAGAAGCAAGATAAAAGATATCACTGACAGATTGCATTGCATTTCATCAGAGATTAACGGTCTTTGTTTGAATTTGACGAAGGTGGCTAGAGGAGACGTATCCAAGTCCAACAGACTACAGGAGAAAAGGCTAACTACTTCTTTGAATGAAGGTCATGTCTATGGTAGGGAAACTGAGAAGGAAGAAATTCTTCAATGGCTTCTCGGGGGTGATGAAAATGGAGTATCTGTAATGCCCGTAGTTGGGATGGGAGGAATGGGCAAGACGACATTGGCTCAACTTGTTTATAACGATGAAAGGGTTACCAATCTTTTTGCCATCAAAGCTTGGGTTTTTGTTTCGGAACAGCTCGATCTTATAACAGTGACAAGAATAATTCTGGAGAAAGTTTCGTCCAATTCATATGAATGTTTGAGTGATCTAGATTCACTTCAAATAAGGCTGAAAGAGGAGTTATGGGGGAAGAAATTCTTATTCGTTTTTGATGATGTTTGGAATGAAAGTTACCAGCAGTGGGATCTCCTGAGAAGACCCTTCACATCAGGGGCACATGGAAGTAGAATCATAGTTACTACTCGCCATTGCAGGGTCGCATCGATGGTGGGAAATGTTGCAGCTTATCACCTGCAAGCACTGCCATACGATGAATGCTTGTCATTGTTTGCTCAACATGCATTAGGAAAGAGCGATTTCAGTGCACATCCGAATGTCGAAGAAATCGGACAAGGAATAGTAAGAAGGTGTAAAGGATTACCGTTGGCTGTGAAAACCCTTGGAGGACTTCTGCGTGGTAAGCGAAGTTGTGATGAATGGAAAGACATATTGAATAGCAAGCTATGGGATTTACCAGATGAAGGGAATGACATTCTTCCAGCTCTAAGATTGAGCTATCATCATCTTCCATCTCATTTGAAACAATGCTTTGCTTATTGTGCTATATTTCCCAAAGGCTATGAGTTCAACAAAGATGAGTTAGTTTTCCTGTGGATGGCAGAGGGGCTTGTTCTACAGAAGCCGAAAGGAACGAAGCAAATGGAAGACTTAGGCCATGAATATTTCCTTGATTTGGTATCAAGATCATTTTTCCAGCAGGCAAGTAACAAGGAATCACGGTTCATGATGCATGATATCATCAACGACCTAGCTCAATTTATTGCTGGAGAAACCTGCTACAGTTTTACAGATAAGGTTAAGCATGCCAAAAGATCGAATGAAAGCTTTGAGAAGGTCCGTTACTCGTCTTTTATGAAGCACAACTATGACACCTCTCAAAGATTCAGATCGTCTTACCAGATGACGAGGTTGAGAACATTCCTATCCTTTTCCCAGTTCTCACATTCCTTTCGCAGCTTTTTATCTAATGGTGTGCTGCATGATTTTCTGCCAAAAATGAGATACTTGAGGTCATTATCCCTTTGTGACTATAACATCGAAAGGCTTCCAGAGTCGATAGGTGAATTGAAGCATTTGAGATATCTTAACTTATCTCATTGTATGATAAAATGTCTACCAGAATCTATGACATTCCTTTTATACTTGCAAACATTGATCTTACACAGGTGCTATAAGCTCACCAGGTTGCCTGAAACAATTGGGAATCTGATGGATCTTCGGCATCTCAATATCTCACACACAACAGCTTTAAAAGAGATGCCATCGGGGATAGGTAGACTGAGAAATCTGTTGACACTGCCTAAATTTGTTGTTGGGGAAGTTGATGGATTGAGGCTAAGAGAATTGAATGGCCTATCACATCTCAGAGATCAGTTATCTATTCTGCAACTGCATAACGTGTCGGATGTACAAGATGCAAGGCATGCCAATCTTAATGAAAAGAAGAGCCTCCGTGACTTGAAGCTAGAATGGAGTTGTGATTTTCATCGCTCAAGAAATGAAACCAGAGAGATGCAAGTTCTTAACATGTTAAAACCTCATCAAAACCTGCAAAATTTAACAATTAAATTTTGTGGAGCAAAAGAATTCCCTTCATGGATAGGTGATCCATTGTTTTCTAAGGTAACAAACTTGGAGCTTTACCATTGTCCAAGAATTGCTTCCCTTCCGTCTCTTGGACGATTGCCGTCTTTGAAAATACTGATCATAAAAGGCATGGTTGCAGTAAAAACTGTGGGCCTTGAGTTCTATGGCTGTGTCTCTTCTTCCATTGATGCTTTTCCTTCTCTAAAGATTCTAAGATTTGAAGATATGTTAGTTTGGGAGGAATGGTCTTCATCAGTTGTTGGCATTGAACTTCAAAGGTCTCGGCAATTCGAACGCCTTCATGAGCTTCAAATTTACAACTGTCCAAAGTTGGTAGGCAAATTGCCAACCAATCTTCCATCACTTGTAAAACTTGAGATTCACAGATGCCCGCAGTTAACATATTCATCGGTAAGTCTTCCATCTCTTAGAAAACTGAACCTGGAAGAGTGTAATGAGATGATTTTCCGAAGCATGGTTCATCTCACACGTCTTAGGTCATTGAAAATGAGCAACATTTCTCATCTAGCTTGTTTGCCAAATGCGTTCAAACAAGACATGATAGCACTTGAGGATCTGAAGATCGAAGAATGCACTGAACTGACATCCTTGTGGGAGGATAAAAGCAATACAGACAACCTAGTTTGCCTTAATCGTATTGTGATCAAGAAGTGTCCCATGTTTGAGCCTTTGGGAGGGGAAGATCACCAACTTGTCCCATCACACAATCTTGAAGCTTTGGAGATACTTGATTGCAACAACCTTAGGAGGCTACCTAATGAGTTATTTAACATCTCATGTCTTAGAATATTGAGACTAAAAGGGTGCAAAGAGCTCAAGTCATTGCATGCGGTAATGAAGATGGATGGTGAAAGCAATGGCAACATCATGCATCTTGAAAAGATGGAGATAAGAAATTGCCCTTCTCTCAAGTCTTTTCCAAGAGGCAAATTACCAACTTCACTCAAGAAGTTAGTCATTGAAGACTGTGAGGTCCTTCAAGTTCTGCCCCAAGGAATAATGTCTTATGGTGATGATGATGACAACCCGCATCTCCAAGAAGTAACCGTTAGAAACTGCCCTTCTCTCAGATCCTTTCCAAGTGGCAGATTTCCTACTTCTCTAAAGACATTTCTGATTGAAGATTGTGAGCTCCTTCAAGCCTTACCAGAGGGACTGATGTGCGACAATGACAATATGTTGCACTTAGAGGATCTTAAAATGCAAGGACTTCCATCTTTGATGTTCTTCCCAAATGGACAACTTCCAAAAACTCTTAAGAGTCTCGTCGTGTTTAATTGCAGAAGATTGGAGTCATTTCCAGAAAGGATCTTGCAACGCAGTAAGGCACTTGAAACCATTGAAATTTCTCACTGTACCAATCTACAAGCCTTGCCATTTGACTGCTTCAACAACCTACCTAGCCTGAGCACGTTGGTAATAAGTGGTTGCCATGGTTTAGAATCCTTTCCAGAGGCTCAGCTGTTAACTCCTAATCTCAAATTTCTAAGGATAAATAGATGCAAGAATCTCAAGTCCCTTCCTAATGCCATGCACAGTCTCAGGTCTCTTAAAGAGCTGAAAGTAAAGAGTTGTCCCAGTATAGTGGCCATTCCTGAAGGAGGTTTGCCTCCAAATCTGTCACTTCTTTTCATTGATTGTGAGAATCTAAAGCAACCCATGTCTGAATGGGGCTTGGACACGCTCGGCTATCTTCACCGCTTATGGATCCATTGGATGTGTCCTCCAGAGAATGTTCTTCCTACTTCATTGACTGAGCTTTACATTAGAAATGTAGGTGATCTAAAATCTTTACCTCAAGGGCTCCTTCAAAACCTGTCATCTCTTCAAGTCTTGGATATTTCTCGGTGCCATCTGCTTCAGGCTTTGCCCAAGCAAGGCCTTCCTCCCTCTCTTGGGTCGCTCAGGATTGATGACTGTCCACTTTTGCGACATTGGTGCTTGGAGAACAGAGATTCTAGGCGTATTATAGCCCACATCCCTTGCCTTTGGATAGATTAAGATCAACAGGTCCAACAATTAGATGTGGAAATAGGGTTTATTAGACGCTTTCCGGTTTGGATCACTTTGAATTCCGAGAAATTTGTCCAATACATCTAAAATGATCAATCCCGAGATTGAAAACGACAGAACAATGTAGTTGTACAACCATGTTGCAATAGCGTTATGGTCAGAATAATTTATTATGCTCATACCAATTAAAAAATAAGAAAATAATCTAAATCCCCTATTTTCACTTATTCAACAATCTTAAAGAAATTTAAATTTATTTATAGTTATCCAATGATCTAAATTAATTTAATATATTAAGAAAAAATAAAGAAATTTACGTATCCAATTTTTTTTAGAAAAGTACTAAAATTTTAATTTTAATTTTTTAATTTAATTTCTGGATACACCACTGTCAGGTTATTTTATTTTTTCAAATGTTTTGAGACAGAAGTTTGCATACAATCAATAATGAAAATACTGTACCAAGTCTGATGGTACACATTTTATTGGCGTCCTGAATTCTTCTGATCCTTCTGGAGTGGGTGTGGTCAGCTCATAATTATTTAGCTTCAAGAAGAATGGAAGAGTAGGGTGCCACATTGTAGGTGGCTCCAATTCCAGGGACTCCTTGGCCCACAAAATCATCTGGCGACCCAAGATTGGTGTCCACCTGCAGTTTCAACATCCACATTCAACTTATCACCCATGAATAACTCCACCATGATTCAAAACCATAATTAAACCAAGCAGGCTACAGCTTTGTAGAATTGAAATTGCAGTTGGTAGAAATCAACCCGTTGTTGGAATAATAATGCTTACAAAACCTTCACTTCCAATGGAGGAGGTGCATTGGTAAATCATGGGATATCAGTTTTTAGAGCAAACAGAGGTTGAAAAAAGTAAAACATAAGACTAACCACACGGAACCAACGTCTTGCCGGTGGTGCTGGAGGTATAGACACTTTAACCAAAAAGTCATGAGCATTGAATGCTAGATAGATATCTCCACCATTTTTCTCATGAAGCCTGCAAAATAAATTTAATTTACAACAATGACTGAACGGGAGATGCATTGTTCTGTTGTTTAAGAAAGAAAAAGATCATGCACACACACAAAGGAACAATGGAGCTCCCGAGAATATTTTAAAACATGGGAAGTGGGTAAAACGCTTGATAAAGCAAACAAAATTGCTATTTCTTAACACTATAATCGATTCAAGAAGTGAAACCTAAATATACAAGGAATACAATGCAAACACATTACTCAAAGCACAAATGATTAAGGAAATAATAACAACCTATTGAGAAGTATGAAAATTTCTTACGTAAATGCGAGGAATTTGCTCTCAGGGTTGTCCCAGTTATCCTCATGCCAGGTCACATCTCTCTGCGCATATAAAGCATTTATTGAGCTTCAGAGAACGTAAAAGCGCAATGTAGTTTCACTAAGACAGGTATAAAGATGTGTACTTTGGTGAGAAAATTCTCATGACAAAATACTTGATGCTTTCGCCGATAGTGTATCACCTCGGAGAAAAACCTAAAGTGGTCACTCTTCCTTGAACTCAACTGTTTCAACGTACAGAATACCATCAAGCAAGTATTGTGTGGATCAAAGTTATATAAAATAAAAAACTAGTAAAAGTTTCACCTGCTGCCACTGGAAATTATTAAGAGCCGTATCATGCCCATAACTGTTGTTATTCCCATATCGTGTGTGCCCGTATTCATCTCCCATTAGCATCATTGGAATTCCCTGATTATGATTCCAAAAAGATTACAACTCTTTTTACAAGTTCAATTGCAGTATAAAGAAAACAATTGAAATCTAAGAGCAAAAATCAGCAGATCTTATAGCCCTAAACAGAAAGAAACTGATTGAACAGTGTGTGCATAACAAAGGGGGCAATTCTGGGACCCCTCCAGACTTCTTACTGACTATTAGCTTGAGAAAAATACATGCCGCAGTTAACAAGAATAAACAAAAAGAACTAGAGAAAGATAACAAAGACTCGAGGAAATTCGTAATAACATTAATTTAAAGAAAAGGTTAAACCCACTTCACAGGAAACTGAAAAAATGTTGAACCCATTACGGTCTTAACAAGCCCCCCTCCATGAATCATATGATGCACAAAATGACTGTAATACTTTACCTGTGATATCATCAATGCCAAATGAAAGTTTTTCATTTGCCGGAAACGCAGGGCTACAATACCAGCATTGTCAGTTTCTCCTATCCAATAAAAACAGAAAAAAGGGGAGTTCAGCTGAAACAAATTTTAATAAAATGATACAACATCTAACATGTTCCCTTTACTGGAGACTCAAACCATGAAAAAAATTGAAACGAAAAGAAATAAGCTTGAAGTGTCTAAGATGATCCAACACTAGAATTTATACATGCATAGACAAAGAATAGAAAAAAAATAACCAACAATAAAAAAAGGAACCTTTTTGCATACCTTCAAACCCACAATTCCAGCTAAAGTTGTCATTGCTTCCGTCATTTCCACCTTCTCCATTGGCTTCATTGTGCTGTAAAAGCAAACATTAAATCGAAATACTGTATGGGCCTCAAGGAAGCACTTAGAGTGATGCAGTGAATATCATATACCTTAAAATTGTATGAAACGAGATCACGGAGGGTGAAGCCATCATGTGCAATGACAAAATTAACGCTATGGTAAGGCTTGCGTTTATTTTTCTGTACAATGAGCCAAAAGTACGACTTAAAACCATTAAAAGTGAAAAAAGTTGAAAAGCAAACCAATGAAATTAAAGACGTCTGTGTCAAGTAATATTTACATCTAAGAGTTCTGAAAAAACATCCTCCTAAAACCAATATACATATTCAAAATACCAAATGTCCAATACAAATACAAAATACCAAATACGATCATAAAATCAGTAAATACTAGTATCAATCACAATATAGCCAAAAAGTAACCTAATAACAATAAGATCTTAAATGACTGAATTCTTCAAGAGCCTTCTTTTTGCTCCTCGTCACTGTCTAGGAAAGTTAAGATACTCGGACCAATACCAACATTTGAGACAACAGCTTTAAAAATTAAAATTTAGACTGAAAATGTGGCTAGGATAATGCTTAGCATTTCTAAATTTTCATCTACAAAATCCAGCTTTGTAATTAATAATATTTAAACAAGAGAATTGGGGGTATCAGAAACATAGATGCTATTTAGACCTATGATTTTCATTGAATAATTAATATTGTAAATTGTAGATAAGATTTGTGTTACTGTTTGTAAATAGTTAGTTAATTTAGGATAAGTCTCTAGTTTATCTTTAATTTAAATTTTAAATAGTCTTTTACTTAGGTTAGACTTCTTGTACAAGAGGTCCTTTAAAAGGATAGGACTCTCTTTTTCTGTAACCAAGTTAAGAAATAGAAAACAAAGAATTCTATTTCTCGAAAACTTACAAATATTTAGCTAATTTTCAATCACCAAAATCACCGCACAAATGACACTTACACAGTAGAGGTCGGCAGATCCTGAAACACGAGTCGCAAATGCTCCTTTCATACCGGTATCACCCTATATTAAGGAAAGTTCATAATTTAGATACAAATAGAGATCATTATATCCCAAATAAAAAAAAAGGACAATTGAAACCCAAAAAAGCATGAAAAGATAATTTCAGCATCATGTAAAAATTAAATACTACATAAATTCTTATATAATGCTTATATTAATTTTTTATGATGACATGGATTCTGACGCACCAAGCAACATTTTGTGCAGTGTAGCCTCACTAATGATTACCCCGCCCCCCACCACACCAAAAAAAAAATTCGCAGGTGAGGTACCTTTACTGAAAGGCAAATGGAGAAAAAAGTACTTGGTTAAGTTTGCTTATCTTTTCTTAATTTTTTTATTTCTATTGTTATGTTCAACTGACAAAAAGGACAGATGATGTGTATTTTTAAGATGAAAAGATTAAATGGTCTGTATGTAAATTTATATTGGAAACAGAACGGAGGGAGCCTACAGTGGCTTTTAATGGCATCAGGTATTAGTTGAAGACTATGCAATTGAGCAGGGTTAATGTACAAAGTTTGCTAGATTGGTCTAGTTATTTAGTGCTTTGCTTTGCAGTTCATAAATAATTTGCACCTTGCACCTCAATTAGGTTCATCCAGCACCTATAGTGTGCATAAAAAAAAACTTAATATTAAATCAAGCCAACCACCAGTTCATTCTGCACCTTTAGCGTGCGACAAAGAAAATATTTGTTCCATTTGATGCTACCTTTATAAATATTCTTAGATCATCACGGTACCTCCCATTCCACTCAGCCCACCTGCAGAACAGAAAATCTGAAAGTGACGGAGGAAAGGTTCCCAGCGTTCTCAGAAGAGAGAGTTTCCAGAGAGAAATGTTTGAAATAGAAAGCCAGAGGTGATAATATCTGATTAATCACACAGCCATTTAACTGGTTGATAATCAGAGCAGGTTTGAACATGTAAAACCAAGAACTTCAAGCGAATCATAATAATCTTCTGAAAACATAGGTACTGTACAGTGTACACAAGGAAATTAAGTTGTCAAGTAGAAAAGATAATAAGTGATGCTATTTCATCAGACATCTATGACGGCAAAAAATTAAGATATCTTACATAGACACTAGAAAGTAGGTAAATGCCAAAAATGCATGCATCTTCTTACGGTTAAAAGATTTACAGAAACCACTCCTCAGTTGAGATTTTTATGGCTATATTTATTGCCAACTAGGGATGTTAGTGTCACATGTTTTCAGATAACAATAACTGCAACAGCAAATTACATGTATTATCTGAAAATGAATTTGTGAAGAAGTATTCTCAGATAGCAGATGGTCTTTACGTGCTATAAATGCTCTAGTTCCTTAAACAAACAGAATGAAGTAAGATCTTTTAAAAACAAAATACCTGTCCCAATTAGGAAAACTGCCAACAAGATAAAGTCCTCCACAATCCCATGGTTCAGCAATAATTTTGCACCTTAACAAGGTAGCATCTTTGGCAATAGCCTGGTTAAATAAAGAATGAGCTGACAACTCACTACAAAAAACTGCAACTTCAGAGTTTTTGAAGCACCCCCTATAAAAAAAAGGTGGAGAAAAATTCCCGAGAACCAAAAACTCAAGAGCATAATGAGGCAACATTGCTTTTGAATGTATTCCAACCATAAAATTAACAATACATTTATTTGGGAGCCTCAATTTACAAAATAGCTCAAATTAACATCTCAAAAGAAATCGAGTTAAGCATTGTACTGGCACCCAAAAATTGAAGTCCTGAATGAACTTTCAGTGCATTAGCACGAACAATTAGCAATGCTTTCGTGATATTCTTTTACGATAGGAGAATAAAAACAAAGAACATCCTCAATAGAGCTGGCTGTTAAACCATAATAGTTAGTTGTCTTGTTATAACATCATGTTAGGTCAAAAGGGACTTTAAAATGCCCTACCTTCAATAAGTAGGATATGCTGCATGTAGTAATTTATAGTGGAAAAACATTTAAACCACCTACCCTGACAAGTGGAGGTGCATCGAGTGGAGAACCATCTGAGCCTCGACAAAGTACACTAGCAAGGTCAAATCGAAATCCATCTACATGATATTCAACAACCCTATATTTGATAATAGCAAAGAACAGCATGTCAGCCAAATAAAAATTGTTGGTTTCAATGAGATATTTTGTTGCCTGGTGAGATCTTGAAAAGCATAATCTTGTTGTTCAAAGATAATACACACATACATAAAAAGTAAGAGAAATCAAGTGTCGAACAATAGTGATTACTCCCCAGGAATAACCAAGTATGTTGAGTGACTTAAATACAGACCATCCAACAGCTGAAAAGTGTTTCACAATTCAGCTGAGCCAATTCTGTTTTTCTTCGAGTTTAACTTAATAGAACTGCAGAACTAAATTTGTATATTAAGCCTGTTAAACCCCATCAAAATAAAAGGCACACCCACACCTATACCTGCTCTAAATTGTACATGAAATAATAATTAAACAGGATTTTTGATTTAACAAACAACTTGGCACACAAAAAAAAAACAATCCAGAACAGGACGTTAAAACAAAAAAATTTATTCAAATCACCTTCAGAAAGAAAACAATTTTATATTATTAGAAAAATATGCCATGGCTTTCCTATAGGATTTGTATCCATACCAGTGTCTTAAGCTGTCAAGTATGAACTCCATGACAACAGGATGATTGCAGTTTAATGTATTCCCTGAAGAACAAAAAGCTTGCATCTCAAAGAACTTTATATTTGATAGTTGAACCTATAAATCTTTATAAAACAAAATAAGGTAGTTCCCAAATTCAGCCTGTTTTGAACACTCAAAAGTATTTATTTTAGATGAATCCATAACTTCCCAGAAATTGGTTCAAAAGACTATACACAGAAGAAAGAGAAGCTAGATGTAAAACTCAAGCCAGAGTTAAAGCACAATACTTATGAAAGATGAATTTCTTGCAAGCATCAACTCAAGTGACCCACCTGATGTTAAAATACTCTTTTATCTTTATCACAGAGAAGACATTCAAAAGACAACCCTAGTCATATTCTGCACTAAACTTATGCAAGAAGCAAGCTCCTAACCTCAGCAACATTACTGTGATAGATCAGAAACAGCATATTACGATGAAAGTTAAAAGAAAGGTGCTCAATTATCAATAAGGCAAAATAATAGTACTTTCTTTCTAAATTCCAGTGATAAAAAATGGGAAATATCTTTATAATTATCAAAACAGAAAGAGATCATATCAATAGCTAGGCCAGACCTGAAAACAGAAGATACAAGATTCTGAGAAGCAAGTTATCAAACAGAACAACCTCAAACGCAATCCCAATTTCTAACAAGAGATTAGCAACGAGTTACTTCTATGAATTTAAAAGGGGATAAGATCTTTAGGGGAGAAATTTGAGAGTTAACTGTTGTACATCTGGGAAAAAAAGAATAATAGAAGATTCCTCAGGAAGACCGGAAAGAAAGTCAATTAGAAAACTCAAATTACCGCAGCCAGAGAAGTTTAGCAGTTGACCTCTGTTGTTCAAGTCCACCATGTAATAAACCTGCAAAATAATTAGTAGGATACAACAACTGAGAGGGAAATATGTTACATTAACGAGGAACATGACTCCTGATGCCAAAATGCCTTACTGTCATTGTTGGATAAAAATTAGGAAAAACAAAACCCACCTTGTTGTCTATGCCACGAAATGATGTGGTATAAGGATGCTTATCATCAGCTTCATTAGTGTGATTATAGACAACATCCAAGATCACCTATGCAAAAAATGAAGAGTCACAAAACACAATAATATGCATATTTCATACTTCAATTTGAAACAACAAGGAGATTATAACCAACCATAAATTATGTATGCTGCCAACCATATCAACAAAAGACATTTACCTCAATTCCAGCCTCATGCAAGGCTTTAACCATTTCTTTGAACTCCCGAGAAGCACAAACAGCTCCTCCACTACCAGAAGCATAACGACTCATAGGAGCAAAGAAATTTATTGTCGAGTAGCCCCATGTATTGATCTTTAATACAAAAAAATAGAGGATTTTACTATTCTTATATTTTCACAATAATTGAAGCACAAAGAACTATAATCGAACAACAAAATCATCCATCATTCAACTTACATATAAAAATATTTAACATGTTTTTAGATCGCACTACTTAACAGAGCAGGCATGACAAAGGAGCACCCTAACCCGATTAAGACCGTGGTCCAAGAAAATTAATAATGGAAAACCAAGTACTTATCAATAATTTTATTTCTTGCAAAACACAAGTGGTATTGTTCTTCAGGATGTCCTATGAACAAACTGTTTTAATGAGATTCGCACTTAATTGAGTAGTTGGAACCTATGAACACTATCCACAAAGTGATGACAACTACTTCGAACCATGAGTAGGATCTAAACTATCCGAATTCAGTGCAAAATATATAAAGATTAATAAATGATTAACAAAAGGCTATATCATAAAATAATATAAAAAAAACTGAAGTATGACCTTTTCTAACTTTAGGTACCTAAACTATTTTTGCATATTCTAGGTAACTAATGTTTTCCGCCGTGACCACTCCCACTCACCCGTTTTTCTACCATCAAGATGACATGGAAACATCAGAAACTGCCACGTGGCACAACCAGAAAGGATCACCTGGAAAAAGAATAAAAATTCCAAGAAGTACAAAGTTTTAAAAAAATGTAAAAAGAATCCATTTTTAAGAAAAACAATTATATGTTTGTCAAATCACATTATTTAAAAAATTAATAATTTTATACTTTTATATTTTTATTATGTTTTACAATTTTTTAGTTTCTTTGAATTTTTTTGCCATGTGGCAGTTTCTAACGTTGCCACGCCAACCTGATGGATGAAAAAGATCCAGTGGGATGAGAGTGGTAAAGGACGTTAGGTACCTGGAATATGGAAAAAAAATTGTTTAGGTAACTAAAGTTAAAAATGGGCATACTTCAAGGGTTTTCCTTTTTATAATAAAACCTTAACAAAATAAGCAACAATGAAAAGAGCAATGAACATGGTCACAGTGTAACATTAAATGCATCTTGAGACCAAATAGAAAAGAGACATTTTGTCTCTAAAAGAGAAAAAGTGTGTTTGCTTGTTGAATATTTTAGTTACCATGTGATCTCTGGGATTGGGGCGCCTTTGAAACTCGAACTCATCAAACTCAAAGACAGGAAGCAACTCCACTGCATTGATTCCAAGTTCTAGAAGGTGTGGGATCTTTAAGAAAAATTCAAAAAAGAAACTGTCAGATAAATGTAGAATGTGAGAAGGAGTCCAATCGTTACCGTAAAGACAGAACTACATAATCAGTGCTCTGGAATAAGACTTTTCAAACAGAACAAAAGAAGTTAGTTTAACAAAATTTCCTTTAGCATGTCGGCTATCATGTAAATAAGTGTATTACATGGCAGTTCTCCAAAGATAACGACATAAAACTATGACTTCGCTCTCCACAACCATTCCCATGCATCGTAGTGCATACATTATCATTACTAAGATTGCTGGGGACAATTTGGTTGCAGAAAAAAGTTGCTCTTCGTTTGGGGAAGAAAACATCAGATGTTACAAGCATTTCAAATCCATCCTTCTAGGATGCCCCAACCCTACTGCCTATGTCTTTAAACCAAAACCTGTCCTTGAGTCAATGATAAGTATCGATGTAATATTGCACAACTCTCTGTTGTAACTGAGTTGAGATTCAATTACATACATAAGCATGTCTTAAATATGATAAAATGCAAACTGAAAGCACTTATACATCTAGTAATTAACACATTATTCACAGAGCAAGTTCTTAGAATGTGATCGAGCATAATGGAATAAATCAATACCTTCTCAATCAGACCGGTATAAGTACCACATATATTTTGATCCAAGCAACTAGATTCATCAGCAGTAAACGCACGAACATTCATTTCGTATATGACAAGATCTTTCTGCAATCAAGTGGCAAGTGCCATAAAACATGAGCAGCAGAAACATTCACCGAAGAGATGAAACACAAACTCGATGACTTTGATCCTAATCAAAGACAAAGGATTTGAAGAGAACTTAATATCTGGCATAAGTGGCATGGGATCCATGTACAAGATATAAGAGAGAAATTTAATTCAGATGTGTATCAACAAAAGTTTCAAAACATGATAAAGAGAAAGAACAAATGAGTGACTGGTCATCAACCCAATAGGAGAATTGGCTGCGGGACACAAAAACAAACAATCTTGCCCATACCTCAGGGATATTCGGGAACTTGTAGTCATCTCCCCAGTCAAAAGGCAAGCTATCAAAATCATAAGTTCCAAGAAATTTTGATAATTTATGCATTGGATCTCCAAAAGTTCTTTGACCTTCTACTAGCTTTGCATAAGGATCTATAAGAACATTTTTGTAGTCAAATCGATGTCCTTCGTCCCAGTTTTTGGGACCATCTATGCGATAACCATAGAGAACATTGCTCCGGGGAAAATCCTACATTTGGAGAGTCATTTCAATGGTGCAACCAGAAATCATATTACGTTATGGCGAGAAAAAATAAGTAGTTGCTTCCATTGTTCAACGTATACATATTGTTGACAATTAAATAAGATAAGTTTATTCTAACTCAGAAACGAAGAAATTGTTTGCAGAATCTTGATAGAAATACCACCTCAATGCATATGTGCCAAATATCTCCAGTTTTGTTGAGACGAGGGTCCAAAGAAAATTCGATCATTCCACCATCCAGCTTGTTGATTTCTCCCCTAAGATACATTACCGACACAATGAATTACTCACAGCCAACAATAGTAATAATAGTCCAAACAGCTCAACTTTCTTTCTCTAGTCTGACAAACACTACAAATATATAGGAAAAGCATAACTTTTATGCACATTTCCTGGTAGTAGGACAGAAAAGTTCATTGCATAAAGGAACATTTGAACATTTTTCCTCATATAATTTTTTCCTACGTTGGAAAAACAAGAAAAGCCAGTCATCAGAAATGCATTGTACATGTACAATAAAGAATATAAAGAAAAACATAAGGAGGTCAGCATTAGAGGATAATGAATTTAAATTATGGAAACAATGAATCAGGTTAAATTATGCAAAAAGAACAAGAACCCAAGTAATGAAACTTATAAAGCAAGAAAGAATGTATTCTTACCTCTGAGGAAGTGATAAGCAAAGTGTAACTGCAGTTGCATGCTGTGAAAATATGGCAAAATTGATCCCGTTATCAACCTCTGATGCACCTAATGGAAATGCCTGACCTGGGAAAATTTTAAAGGATGGGGTGGTTTCCGCCATTTCAGGGGCTTCTTCCTGAAATTGCAATGAATGAATATACAATGGTGTGGATCAAGCAAATATTGTTAAAATTCATATACTTCATCTTAGTCAGAATAGTTAGCATAATAAAAATAAAACAGTTGCATGGAGCAAACAGGCACCGTCAATACAAGTTCAGTAGATTAAAATACCTCAAGTACACGCTCTGGTGACCGACGCCCATACACGTTTGCTGTCCTCTGCTTGTCACGGCTCCTTGCCTTGCAATATACCCAAAAACTCAGTCATATTGCCTCTTTTTCTTTGTAATGCAATAGTAAAATTGAAACTTTTTTATGAGCATAGACATGCCTTACTTGAAAGTCGTCGCCCACTCGATGCAATTCTAGTCCACTTCAATCTAAAGAATCACTATCGTAGGTCAATAGATTACCCAAACTAAAAGCTAAATAGCGCATAAATAAGACATTCCACTTCAATATATTATAAACCATTTTCACTAGGTACACTCAGTAAGTTACGAAAACATAACATGAGTTTCTCCCAATTCAGACTCGATCGATCAACTTTCTCATATCATTGATCTTTCTTTCTTTCTTTCTTTCTTTTTTTGGTAAATTCCTATCATTGATCTTACAAGACCCTAACAGTACATACAAATTGAACCCATCCTTTCAAAAACGTGGATTTAAGTTTTTCCTGTTTACTCACAAAATCCGATATATATATATTTATTTATTAAAAAGAAAGCAAAGAAAAAGAGCGTACCCCATTTGAAGAAGAGAATAAGCTCCAAAGGAAGAAAGGGTTGCATTTGGGGAAGCGTGGGAAGGAAACTTGGTACAATTTGATCTGGATATAAAAGATGAGTGTAGCATCTTTGCTTTTCCGTATTTCTATTCTTTTCTTTTGGTTTCAGTAACGAAGAGAACGAACGAGGAATGGATGAGAAAGTTGATCCAAACTCCAGAATACAACTCCAAAAGGGATTCGGATATTCAAAAGACCAAAAAAAGAAAAAAGAAGAGAAAAAGAGCCTCCTCGTAGAAGAAACAACTCCGAGTGAGTGACACTTCTTTAATTCTCCTCGTTAAGCAATAATATAGTAATAATTTCTACCGGGAAGAGAGATTACTGCTCGCCGGAGAATACTGATGAGATTAACTGAATATGGAAGTCCGGTTTCTGGTCTGCCACGTGAACGCGAGTGCGAGGTTCTGGGTGAAACTTTCCTGTGACAGTTACACGTGTTCGTCAAATATCACTACTTCATTCATTGAAGTCATTGGATCCATGATCCATCTATCTATACCTTAAAAAATTATTATCCTTTTTTGAAAAAAGAAAAAGAAAAACGAGAATGGTCATCCGAAGCATGTAGATAAGGAGAAAGACCCATACGCAAACCCGAGGCCCAATATTTACAATCTGCATCTTAGTGTGCATTTTGAAGGAAATATGTTTGCTTAACTGGTCTGGCACAATTAACTGAAACCTTTTATTATTATTATGTTAAGGTGATTATAAAGAAGGTTATACGTTCTAAATATTATCAACCATTTGATAATAAATATTCAATCACTCTACTACAATCGTTGGTGCTCAAACATGTAACCTCTAGGAATAAAAAAATTCTTTTAACCACTGAAGTAAGTTAGTTGGTGCATTTACTGAAACATTTCTTGTTTGCCTGCAAGGGATACATTTTCATGATACGTTTGATTCGCTTTGTTAAACATATAAATTTCATTTTTTTTATATTAGGTGTAATATGGCATCACCATTTATTAGCATTCTAATTGAAATGGCAAATTCACCATTTTTTATATTATAGTTTCAAGCATTAATTAGGAATTGAGTTTTTCCATGGAAAAATGATGGAATCTAGGCATGAACTCGATGGTTATTGTGCAGCTTTCCTTATTGTCTCGACTTCTCCCTGTTGCTTGATCCACAAGCATTAGACTGTGATTTCCCACCACCGCTACGACCCTACCAAGTTTCTCCAACTTCCATAAAATAGCATCATTTGTATTCCAGACACTGTTTCTCTACACTAATGCATACCAAATGAATTTATTGAGTGATATGGATGGTTAAAGTGATTGTTACTTTTCTTTAAATTTTTTGTTTGAATAGTTATATCTACATGGTATGTTGTCAATAATTAAAAAATTACTATAAATATATATTATCTATCACACCATATTATTTAGAAATTAAAAAAAATGCTTAGCAAGCACATTATGGCTCTTCTTGGGCCTTATGAGACTTTGTTGTATTGCAGTTTACTAGAGGAGGTATCCCTGAATGGGCCTGCAAAATCCATGAGATTGCCGGAATTAAAATCTCAAAAAGACATTTGATTCTTTTAATCGAAATTTCTTTCAAAAGTATAAATAATCTGTTAAAATTAGGCATGAGAATAAGATAGAACGGGGTGAATTTTTGGTCATTCTGACCTGGACTTGAATTAGAAATTTATACTCAATTTTGATTCGATTCTGATTTCAGTATAACTTAATTTTACATAATAAAAATATAATATGATCATGATTTTTTTAATAAAAAAATCATTCTGTCCGTTTAACCCGAAAAACAATAAAAACCTTAATTATATGATATAAAATAATAAAAATATATTTTAATAAATATGTTAAGATGAAAAAACATGCTAAGTATAAATTTGACCCCAAAAGTTAACAAATAATCAAATTCCAATTAAGAAAAGTCTGATCCAATTGGATTAGATTGAGACTGTCGGAGATAAAAAGAAAAAATTGTCACCCCTACTGTTTCGCGTCCGCTACTTTGCGTCAATTCAAAGTGAATTAACTTTGGTCGGTGGCACGTTGTTCTAACTTCTAACCTTCACAATGTTTGTATCTTTGACTTATGAAAATAAAGTAATAGAGTGGGGGAAAGAAGGACGAAATTGTTGGCTTTCTCTTTCTAGGACCAAAGCTTCATGCTGCTGCTTTCTAGGGTTCATATGGCTGCTTGCTTTTGCTTCTTTTCCTGCTGTTTTAGCCATTACCAACTCTAAAAGTGGCAGTGGCGTGAGTAAGTGAGTTTCCCCAACTCGCTTTTCTTTCAATTAAGACGATGGACCCAAACTTACATTTTGCTCTTTATTTAATTGGTGCTGGAATTCCGAAACGCCATTGTTGTTTTCTTTTGATTACAAGTACAACGAAAATGAAGGATTGACATAGTACTTAACTGGGCAAAGAGAGGTACAAATATTTGAATCCCAAATAGTTTAACATCTTAGCTTCGTTCGTTGCCCTTTCTTCCAAGGCACGTTGCTAATAGGCCAACACCCAGCAGGGTGAAAAGAAATCCGGAATATGGAGGGAAAAAAATACATACCCCAATGCAACTTTTCCAGTTGTAAAGCGAGGGGACCCTTTGTGCAAAATTAAGCAATTTTTCTTCTCATCTTGTTATTCAAACCTTTGAAAAACATGCACTTGAAGAAGAAGAAAAAGTGCGAACTCTGCCATGTTCGCAACACTTTTTCATGCAATTATGCACGCCCTTTTGAAATATGCTTTGGCGCATAATCATATATCATATAATTATATCAGAACATATAGATTAGAGAGCATGAAGTCAAGCCAGATTCTGTGTCACTTTCTTTCCCATCAATCCTTTTGCACATATCTAAGAGATCAGAAATAAAGCATAAAGTCCCTATGGGATCCTCGAGTCTAAAACCCCCCTTTTTCTTTGGCGATTTAATTAAACTGACATATTTTCACCGTAATATTTCTCTTTAACAATTTTTGATTAATATTTGTCAAAGTAGTATCATTTCAGCTGAGGTGGCACAAAAGCGCATCTCTAGGGACGCGTTTTATTTAGTTTATGTTGACTAAGATGTCACGTGTGAAAGACGCATCCTCTGATACGCACATTTCATTAAATGCAATAAATGCCCATCCGTTTTTTCCCCCAACTATCCCTCCTCCTCCTATATATAAACCCCCTCAACCCCTCTCATTTTTCACACCAAAATCATCTTCTCCTTTCTTATATAACTCGAATTCTCTAACTATTTGAGTTTTAAATTTCTTATTAGTAGTAAGAAATTTATTTTTAAGTTAGTATTTTTTAAAATAGTTTTTATATTTTATAGTAATATAATTATATAAATATTATTTTTTATTAAAATAACATTTATATAATTATTATTTATTTAAATTTATTGATTTTTTTGTGTTAATTATATTTTTTTTGTCTACAATTATAATGGAAAGTGAAATGATGTTGCGATTGATGCAAACTATATCTCCAGACATTTTAGTGATATGGTAATATTTTTTTATAATTAATGTTAATATTTATTATTATTTTTAATTTAAATTTATAATGAATTTATATTAATTATAAATTTTTATAATGCATATTATTTTGGAAACTGATCGTATTTTAGAGACTTTATTAAAAACCCACGTATACCGACACCGCAACGTATTTTGCCATATTTGTCTTCTGCCATGTTCGGGTATATTGCAACAATTATTGGCGGCTACAAACTCGAACCTGTCCTAATTTCTGCATTGATTGAGAGGTGGATGCCCGAGACACACACATTTCATCTTCCATGTGGAGAGGCTACAATTACATTGGAGGATGTCTCTATGCATCTGGGGTTTCCCGTCGATGGGAATATTATGTGTGGTATGGCGGATGGTGATTGGCAGCCAATGTGCATGGAGTATCTTGGAGCTGCTCCGCCAGAATTTAATGGAGGTAGAATAGTTTTATCATGGTTGAAAGCTAATTTTGAAGTTCTGAATGAAAATGCTTCAGATGATGAAGTAAAGGCATGTGCTCGGGCTTATATTCTACGAATTGTTGGAGGAATATTGATGCCCGACAAATCTCGTAACCAGGTGCATTGTATGTGGTTGCAGCATCTGATTGATTTTGATGAAGCTGGAAGATATAGTTGGGGCGTTGCAGTTTTGGCATTTCTCTTTAAAGAAATATGTCGTGCGACAAATTATAAGAAAACTGCTATCGGTGGATGTCACCTGGTTCTGCAATCATGGGCGTGGTTCCACATGCCTTTCTTATACCCGATCGTCAATGAACCATACATATTCCCCTTATTATTGAGGTAATTTTCGAACTAAATTTTTATTTAAATATTTTTAATTAAATATGGTGATATTTAGTTTATATTATATTTCATAGGTGGTCGATGAAAAGAAAGAACCATAGAGATATACCTACTAGACTAGAGGAAATCTGTTTACTTATTGATACAAAAGCTGTGTTTGAGGTATGTTTTAAAATCTGTTTAAATATGAATATTTTAGTTTAAAATGTTAGATATAATTAGAATATTATATTTATTTGAATTGTATATTTATATTTCAGTTTCAGTGGATACCTTATGCGAGCGATGAAGTAAAGACTTGCATCTTGAGTGGGTCATTAGAGGTTTGGATGTCAATTGTACCTCTTATATGATATGTTATTACTGAGTGGCATCCAGTTGATCGCGTGCTCCGTCAGTTTGACTGTACGCAATATATTCCTGAAGCACCTAGGAATTTAAACGACATGCATAACATCGATATACGAGGCAAGAAAGAGGTTACTGGGTGGTGAGACACAGAGATTGGATTGCGCTTTGGGAGAACCGGTATGCACAGTTGGCCCCTCGACAATTTTAAGCTGAAACTGATCATATGGTTATGGATAACTATATGGACTGGTTTAATGAAAACAGAAAGTCGTTTCTACTTTCGGCTGAAACACGAGAGGTTAACATTCCTAGGCGCCGATAGAGACGTCCACCGTCTCAATATCATCGTCCCCCGACTCGTGGACGGAGAGAATGCACTACCGGTTCTGCATCAGTCCCACCACAACATCCCTATCCACCGATGATGATGCCCAACCCTCTAGTTCAGATGTCATCTTCTCAGGGGTATATGCCAAGCCCACCAATTTATATATCATCTTCGCATGGTTACATTCTTAGCCCTCAGGGTTACATTCCTAGCCCACCAGGTTACATGCTTAGCTCGCAGGGTTTTATGACACCATATGAA